ACACACACGATGAAATTGCTTACTGATGATGAGATCGATGCCCATTGGTGGGTTGTTGCTGAAGGAGGGTTGATTGGGCTTGCTGCCGGTCTACTGGCCACCGGGGCCATCTTCAAGTACGGTGCATACAAGTACCCTGGGTTCCCAAAGAACTTGCCATGGTCCATCAGAACGGCGATCTTCATCTCGCCACCAACGGTGGGTATCACCATTGGTGCGGAGGAGGCGTCCAATGCATTTGATAGAGAGATGTACTCCAACGACTACAACGCAAAGCTCAAGTTGGAGGAGCACAAGAGATGGGCAGAGCTGCCATTGAGCCAGAAGTTCGTGCAAGGTGCTGCCAACAACAAGTACAAGATCATTGTTGGTGCATGGGCCGCTTCCATGTGGGGGTCATGGGTCTTCGTGGACCGTGATCCAATCATGACGAAGACTCAGAAGATAGTGCAGGCCAGAATGTACGCACAGTTCCTGACCGTGGGCTTGCTCTTGGGTTCTATTGGGTTGAGTATGTACGATGAGAAGCACAACGCTCCAGCCAAGGTTGAAGAGCTGCAAGGCTGGGAGAAGGTGCTACTTGAAGAGGAGGAGAGACAGAAGAAGGAGAAGGAGAATGGTAACGGTACTTACAAGAGAGCCAGAATCTACAAGGATTGAGCAGAGAGCTTCTCCTTGTTGTTTCTCCTGGTTGTTGTGTTTTTTTTTTTGTTCATTCATGAGGTTACGAGTCATATTCCCCTTGTACATTTCCCCTATATAAACGTTCTGTATACTAGCTATCATCATATCATTAAACGGTTCTCGCTTTTAGACGTGAATTTGTACGGTCATGTGTATAACTATGTCTCATGATCGTAGTAGTTGCTCGTTGACCCTCTGGAAGAATGCTTGACGGAACCTGAACGACCTGTTCATCATGAGGCTCTCAAAGGTTGGCCAGGTTTGTCCAGGAGATTGTCCAGGAGATTGGTGTATCCTGTCGACATCGGTGCCAACGTCCTGAAGTACCCAGCCATTAGACGTCCACCGTACTTCTATCAGCTCACCTTCAAGAGTCTTTATAGATAACCAGCCGTCGATTTGGTTGATGGCGAGCACAAAGGGGGTGCTATAGTGTTCGATTGCACTGCGATGCTCTTGCTCTTCCATGGCCTCTCCTGTATCTGAAACCGTAAGTGGACTGTGTCTGGTGGAAGGTGAAATGTTTTGAAATGACTATTTTACTGTGCTATATATGATATTATAATTATAATTATAATTATATAATCGCAATTATATAATCAGAACCTTGGTCTTCTCTTTCTTCCTGTGAACTTGGAATCGAGCGCAACGCTCTTACCTCTTTTCTTCATCAGCTCCTTCTTTCTGTGAATGAAGTGCTTCTTGCTCTCCATCTTCTTCTTCATCTTTTTGCCTATTTTCTTATCGTGATCGTTGACAGGTGCGTCCATCGTCAACCCGTTCAGATTCAAGGACTCTGAGCTTTGGCCCGCACTCAGCACCAAATAGTACTTCTTGTTTCTCTTACTCTCCGCGTCGTCGATGACCAGTCCACCTTGGAACCCTGCGACTTTTGCGCTGGAAAGGATCGCATCTATTTGGCCGTCATCGGAGGGATAGAACTGTGCAACGAACTTACCTCCCCTCTTCAAACTGGCAAACAGCGTGTTGAAGAACCTCATCAGCCTCCATTTGGGGTCCACGTTGGACGAGTCCGCATTGCACAGCCACTGTATCACGGATATACTTATTGCAGCGTCGAAAGTACCCGGTCTGAACGGTACACCGGAACCAATATCAGCCAGAAACAAATCACCTTCAACCTCCCTGTCGAGCGCCGTGGCAAGCATCGAAGGCGCAATGTCCATCCCACACCAAACGTGGCCCTCCTCTGAAAGGATCTCGCCTGATAGCCCAGAACCACACCCTATATCCAGTATGAAATGTGGCGTGGAGCTGAGATTCAACAGCTCCAGGGCCCTCAGCGTCATCTTGGCCTGGATGTGCTGAACTCTTGTCGAGGAAGTGTACTTCTTCGACTCAGAATCGTTGTAGAAGATCTCTGGCGGTGCGAGCTGTTCTGGACGCGACATGGTAGAGCTAACGGGACGCTGCTTGTAGGCGGTTCTACCCAGTTGTTGTTGTAGGACCTCAAGAGAAATTTTATACCTGACAAAAAACAGTGAAGCTCATCGCCCGTAGACATCGCACACAGAGGCCGGCGTGAAAATTTGACGCAGCGGATTACATAAGCCGCTTATGTAATAAAGTGATCTGGCTTATGTAATGTCGCTTATGTAAGCCATTACGTCAGCATCACGTGCTAGGTGCGTACGCAATAGCTGTTAGGGACAGCAGCGCCAGTAGCAACGGTATAGGCTCTCTGGTGATGGTGGGAAGATACACAGTACTTGAGGGCCTGGCGAGCACCTTCTCAAGCTACGCACCCTGTGGTGAGCCCGATTGGCTGGGGCAAGCCTATCACTCTCGCCATCCCCGCGTAAAGTCTCGTAACCCGACACTGCCTCGTCTCGGGAGCCCATCATGGCCGCTACACACCATCGGAAAGCGACTCGTTTACAACAGGCCACCATGTGGTTGCCCGCCCTCGTTCGTGCCATCGGCCAATGGCACCACCGGGACATGCGCTCTCTCTCTCTCTCTCTCTCTCTCTCTCGCAGAGCGGTTGTAATTGGTATCGCCCTGGCTGTTCATACCCTCGTTGTGAACCTACCCAAGTGGTGTCCTCCCACGCGTGCTAAACCCATTGCTTGACGCATTTTAAAGCCATTGTACAATACATCGGAATAGCATCAACACCGGAAAAGCATCAACAAATCCTCACAAACCCCATAGCGAAAAGCGTTTTATCGCCGCCTGCGTCATCGTAAGCCGCTCGCTCTCTCCCTCTCTCGTTTCTGTCCCCAGCGTCGTTGCGGAGTCTCGGGAAATTTGCATCACGCTGCTTCGGATAACACCCCCCTTCCCATTGGAAACGGGCTAAGAACCCAGCGTGAGGTCGATCCCAGCGTATCAAACCCCTGTATAGGATCACCCCTGGTTGCCGTGCTTGGTGCTGTGTAGCTGACAAGGTAAGAGCAGAGAGAACGGATCGAGACCCCTGTGTGAGTGCGTGGATTGGAGTACAGACGTGGTCCATTGTGTGCGGTATATAAGCGAAGTAAACAACCCCTTGCTTGTTTGAAGAAAGATGCAGCGGTACCTCCGTCAACTGTGTCAGAACCCCTTGGAGTCGAAGGAGCTCAAGAGACCTTCCCTTGCTGACAACACCGAGTATCAGTCGAGTGCTTCGACGTTGGGGACGCTGAGCTCGCCTGCTAGGGAACGAGCCGCTGGTGAAGCAGAGCTTGCTGAAGTAACAGAGGAGAGCGTGGAAGAAGGAGAGGAGACTTCTGTGATGGCTGACCAGCAGACGCTGGAGACGTACAAGACGTCCAGGAGGATCAAGGTCAACAGACGGATCTACAAGGGCAAGGTGAAGAGTAAGCTGGACGACGTGAAGTTTGAACATGCCCATAGCATTCTGGATGAAGTTGACACTACAAAGTCCAAGTACAAGGGCTTCTACGTGATGATCTGGTTCTCCATCGCCGTGACGAACTTGGACTTCATGGTGAACCATCTCCTGGAGCACGGGTTGGAGAGCGATATCCTGGCAACAATGGGCAAAGACCTGACCGCCGTGGCGTTGACGGACCTGGCGATGTACCTGTCAATGTACTTTGTTGTTGTGGTCCAGAAGGCCATATGCTGTGGATGGATCACGTGGCACGGCTCCGGCTGGCTAGTGACAAGTGCTTACGAGCTGGCGTTTACTGTGTTCTTCTTATACCTGGCACAGTGGAAGGACTTCCCGTGGATTGGGAAGATCTTCCTCTTCTTGCACTCGATGGTTCAACTGATGAAGATGCACTCGTACTCCTTCTACAACGGGTACTTGTGGAACATCGTCGAGGAGCTGAACGAGTCCAGGGGCCTCCTGAAGAAGTCAGACACGCTCTCGAAGGAGGTTGTTGACCATTTGAATGAGTCTGTGGAGTTTTGCCAGTCTGAGCTGGCGTCTCAATCAACCACCACGCCGTTCCCTGGGAACCTGACGTGGGGTAATTTCTTCCAGTTCACGATGTTCCCGACGGTTGTTTATCAGATTGACTATCCGAGAACCCCAAGGATACGTCCGCATTACCTGTTCAAGAAACTCGCTGCTGTGTTTGGTGTCATCATGCTGATGATTGTTGTCGCGCAGACGACTTTATATCCAATTGCGATGCGTGCCATCAGCCTCAGATCGCTGCCCTTAGCGGAGAGATTGTGTCATTATCCACTGTTATTGCTAGATACCATGCCGTCGTTCTTCCTGATCTATATCCTGGACTTTTATCTCATCTGGGACGCTATACTGAACGCAATTGCTGAGCTGACACGGTTTGCAGACAGAGACTTCTATGGTGATTGGTGGAATTGTACCTCGTGGTATGAATTCTCCAAGCTTTGGAACAAGCCAGTGCACAATTTCCTGTTACGCCATGTCTATCATTCGAGTCTAAGCGCTTTCCAGCTTAACAAACAGCAGGCTACGCTGCTCACCTTTCTACTCAGCTCAGTGATCCATGAACTGGCGATGTTTGTGATATTCCACAAACTCAGAGGTTATCTACTCATCTTCCAGATGCTTCAACTGCCTCTTATTTATCTACACAAATTACCATTCATGAAGGATAAGGATACCTTGAACAACGCCCTCTTCTGGGCAGGAATAGCTACAGGGCCTTCCATCATGTGTACATTATACCTGACTTTCTGAACCAATTTAGATGCTATGGCCCCGATGTATAATAGTCAATTCAAATCATTATAAACCAGCCGTTGTAGCTCCATCTACAACAGTTATGCCTGAATAGCGGAACAGGACCAATGGTACAGCACGCAGTTTTGGAGCATTCTAAGACACGCACACATTTACGTAGCTGGAGCAAATGGCAAACAAGGCTGAAACCTGGTTTAGCGAGCAAAATGAGACTGCCCAGGGCCTAGCGATAAAGGCTTGGATCTACCATTTTCTATACGCAACAACTGTCAATTGAACTGTGGAATTCTGCACACACGTGTACAGTATACAACAGTTAACGGTTCGTGCTTCTGTTTCTAGAAGAGTATAATACTTGTGCCGGCCTTGCCGTATCAGCTGGTGGCTCTGTATATGGATATCGCTGTCTTCCATTAGCTTGCTATAGTGAGGTATCATGATGGCTCCGGAACAAAAACGTGATAAAGATAATGGTGGTGTCATACGCCAGACACCTTTTGACGAGATGATTGATGGCGACAGCACTTATAAAGGCTTCTGCTGTACGTTTATGATGTTCATCGGGATGTACCTTTTCAAATTGGGCTGGGAGTACCAATTGCAGTATGGACACCTTCCAGATGACCTTATCCAAATACTGGGCTTGGATTTGGGGTGTATTGCACGTATGGAGATCTTGATGTACTTGGGAATGTTCACGAGTTTCTCGGTGGTTTCGCTCGTGAAGGTGGATCTACTGAACTGGTACTATTCAGGTTGGACATTCATGGCTCTGTACGAGTTGTTCTATCTGTTCTCTTTCAACTATTTGGTACGCAGGTGTGAATGGATCACAAGAGCATTGATATTCCTACACTCGTGTGCACAAGTAATGAAGATTCATTCGTATGCCTTTACTTTGGGCTCCTCTGCTCATCAACAACGGGTCACGTTGAGAGACTTCTTCATGTATACGATGTATCCAACACTTGTTTATGAAACCAATTTTGTTAGAACGTCACGTGTTCGTCTTGGCTATCTGATCAAGAGGATCTTTTTGATACTGGTCATGTTGTATTCGCTGGTGATTGTTATCGACTGTTCTATGGGCCCGATAGTGACTGAGATTGTACAAACCCCGGTAGTTTCAGCAACTACGGTGATTACGAATATCTTGAAACTGTTCCCCAGTATGTTCTTACTGTGCTGTTTAGCATTCTATCTCGTCTGGGAGTGCCTACTAAACGTTATAGCAGAACTGACGTATTTTGCAGATAGAGACTTTTACAAGGACTGGTGGAATTCAGGCTCAATATTAGAATTCTGTAACACATGGAACAGATCCGTTCACAAGTTCTTGAAAAGGCACGTCTACTTGCCCACTGTCAGGCAATTCAACGGGAACAAATTCTACGGAATAGTGGCTGTTTTCCTCCTTAGTGGGCTCGTTCATGAGCTGGCGCTTTTCGTCATTTTCCAAAGACCTAAGACACATTTCATCCTACTCTTTATGTCCCAGTTACCGGTCATAATGGTTCAGTCGCCGCAGTGGACAAGGAGCAATAGAATGGTTGCGAATTTCCTATTCTCCGTTTACATCGTTCTGGGTCCCTCGTTCCTCACAGTGATGTACCACATGTGCTGACGGCAGGCTGTCAGTGGCAAGCTGTCAGTGGCAAGCTGTCAATGGCAAGCTGTGCACTTGAATAGATGAATCCAACGTTAGGCACGCTTCGCTGCATCATGGGCATTACAGTAGCTGTGGTAACTGTAGTAACCCACCTTGTGAAGTAACCTCGGCGATCGGAAAACGCCAACGATCACGTAATATCTTACTAAGCGCCCGCCCCACAAAACTCACATAAAACAAAACCCGGTGTCCCTTGTGGACATTTGGTCAATTTGAAATAATACAGAGATGATCAGCAGTTCCCCTGCACAAGGATGAACCGTGTTACAAAGAGATCTACTATTTTTTTTGAGAATTCTTGTGAGCACTAAAGGACACACTTACATAGCTCATTGTGATGAATCAGACGTATCGACAGATGTCTACGTCACCTTACCAACCACCATTGTGTTGTCAGTTGTTCGTGCTTCGTTTGTGGGTCCCGTTAGATATCGCTCTAATAGACATTTTTTTTACGCTTTCAATTTACGTCGCGCGTTCGAACCTCCACCGTCGCCCTCAATACCCTCGCCAAATCAACAAACTGTACAACGCGGGTATCCAGTGCCCAAGGCTTGGGGGGCTGAGGACGTTAGGGCGGCAGAGGGAAGGGGGCTTATATTCCAACGACAATCCCGCCAACCTCGTCAGCGGGTCCAGATAATGGTGGAAAAGGTATAAGAAAGGGTGTTCTTCCCATTCTGGAGTATGACGAGAGGAGAGGAAGCGCCACTGATTCCAAAACAAACAATGTATCTGGCATCACTGGAGACCCGAAAGCACCTGCCATACGTGGCCGGTTCTGTTGTTTTCATCGTTGTGACCCTGCTGGTGAACCCCTGGTCTGTGGGTCACTTTATAGACCACACCGCTACGTTTGGTGAAGAAGCCGGGGACGGTTTGTTGTTGCCAATCACACGAGAAAACGCCAGTGCTATCTTCAACACCGTGCAAGGTGCTCTGAGAAACAAGAACGCACAGGTTGAGCCTATCGGTGTGAGTTTCATCCCGGCTTATATCCCGGAGGGAACGTTGTTGTACCATGGGAATGGCGATGGCCAGATCCCAGAAGGACTTGAATGGGTGGCGATGGACCATGAGTTCAGCTATACGTTCATAGCGGACAGGGGTGGTCCAACCATCGGGTGTGATGATGATGACGTGAAGAATGGTAAGGATGGTTGCACAGGGTTCCACTTCCCACCTGGCGAAGGTCATGAGGGCCCAGGCGGTCCAGGGGGTCCACCAGGGGGCCCAGGAGGTAAGCATCCAGGCGGTCCAGGAGGTAAACATCCAGGTAAACATCCAGGTAAACATCCAGGCCCACCAGGAGGCCCAGGTAAACCGCCATCCCATTGGAAACCAGGTAAGCGTCCAGGACCAGGCCCGCCAGCTCCCTCTGGCGGTTCCGGCCATACCTCAATGTTGACCTTCCGTGTAAGAGAACCTCTCAGCCGTATGATCCTGTTAGACGGCTCATCTGCTGCAAAGACCACGTCTGGTGAGATGGATCAACAGTTCTTGCTGGCCAATATGAAAGACATTGACAACCCGCTGTTTGGGGAGTTCGAGGCTGCCGAAAGAATCTGTGAATGGGGGAAGTCGTTTGGATTAGATGGCTTTATCCGTATTGAAATGGGCTATGAGGCCGTTATCTGTGACTTCTTTGACAAGTTGGAGCTGGTCAGCAATATAACGGTGGATTGGGCCAATAACACCTTGAATCTACCTATCAAGCTTTCTGATGAATCTCTGAACGAAGAGTACACTGATCTCTTCAAAAGCATCAGTGCCATGGAAGGCTATGATCAGATAAGGGCAGGTAACGTCCATGATAAGAGAGATGGCCGTATTCTGCTGGACTTCTCCAAGTTCCAGACCATGCTCAACAGAACGTATGTTGGTACAGACCCTTATACGAGGCGTATCTATAACGTTTCGTCTGATCTTCGTGAAGGTATTAGAGACGACTTGGCTCGTGTGCTGAAACCAGGCACTAACCCTTACCAAAGTACAAACTGGCAGTTGATGACCACGGAGATTGTTGAGAAGTTTTCCCCAATTTTGAGGCTCATCAATCAGACACTCTCCAGTGATGAAGCGACGGATCTTGAAAAGGCTAAGAACATCACCGTTTTCACAACCAATACCGTGAGAAGATTCGCACAGTGGTCTGGAGCAGATGTTTCCATGGAGAGCGGTTTGGAGCGTGCCAAACTGTTAGCTGTGAAAGAATATGCGCATCCGTTGGAGCCAGTGGCGTCTGCATCCGATGCTCTGATCTATTCGTCGTTGCACAAGGTTACGGAAATGATCGTCGATGCAGTGTTTGAATCATTCACCGTTTCTCGAACAATCATTAACAGCTACTTCTTGAAGGAGGACATTGACTTCTCGCCATTGGAGAAATTACAATCCGATATGATTGATTTACTAAACACGCTTAGATGGGACTCTACATTTTACAGATGCTCTGAGACGTGTGCGTGGGACGAGGTTTGTTATACACCTTCTTGGGGGCCATCTCCGTTGGGCTGGGGTCAGTTCGGCACATATGAAGATGCGGATGGGAAAAGGAGAATAGAGCCTGATCTTCGCTGTGTCAGCTATAAAACTATACTAGGACATGGTGGTCGACCATTCTGAACAGATCTGTCGTTCTGTGTTCTGGAAAGGGTAGATATCGGACATTGAAACAGATATTTGTCCATCAAACATTATGTGAATACATATGCATCGGCATGCCTATGCTACTCCTTTTGGTGTGGTACGCTAATGCAGTAGTTGAACCCAACAGACTGTGTGTTTTACTGGGTGATGTAGGTGTCGAGACGATCTCCTTCAACGCATAAACGTTTCGACTGAGGAATGTGAGCATCACCGAAAACCCCATCCCTTTGCACCCATATTGGTAATAACTGAACTGCTACCATGATCTAGTGCCTTGCGAGGCACGTCTCTTAAACGAAGAACGTCCATTTGGTCTGCTGTTGCTGCTCAAGCATGACTCTTTCACGGATATGTGAGGTTAAATTAGCGGAGATGTGAGGTTAAAGTTAGCGGAGGTGTCGAGATTTAAGGAGATACTGGAATTAGAAGCTAATTGAGGCAGGTGGTGTCTGGTTTGTACGTACACCAGGGTGTTTACTCTCGTATTTCCCATGGTTAAATGGCCAGTGTTCCAGAGGGTCTTTTACTGCTGCCTTGGACTGCAGATTGGATTGAGGTTATCCTATCCAATGCACATTGAAGTTATAAGGACCACGCTGTGAATCTCGGGCGCATCGCCGCACCTGTGGAAACTGCTGCCATTTCTCTTGTAAGGGGGTAATCCATGGAACGAGTGCCACTGATACTGAACTGCTTCTATCACACACTCTGAAGCAGTGTGTTATGTGTTAACCTTTTCCCCTATTCACCACGTTTGGACCAATAATAATTGTTCTTTTAAAGAGTCTAAGGTGCTATACAGTTTATGCACTGTTCCAACTTTATCGTTCAATCACAACTAATGAAATGCCACCGTGTGCTCTCATGAAGCAATTTCTTGGAAAGATCCGCGTCTCTTTCAACAAGCTTTGAGGCATCTCACGAGGCTCCATTTGAAAACTGGTACACTCAATAGATTTTGAAGGAAGATGTTGTTTTAGTCGTATTTTTTAAGTGCGCTGGGTGTATTTCAGGTGCATATGCATGCCGACGATCAACTAAGCACCAAAAGGTGAAAAAACACCCTCAAAATGGTGGCATGCACTGTTTTGGTGGGTGGATGCGAGATTTGTCGGACTATATTGCCTAATTGGAACTTATGGTCTGGCCAAGTCCAGAGACGAGCCATGAGTGTGTCTCCTATACCTTTGGAAATATCGATATGTTCATGGTGCCCGCGTTGACGCAGGCAGGAGGGAATACATACAAACGCGCATTATCGGAAAGATCTACTGGAGTGTGGGAGATTCAGAGGATGGAAAGCCCCTAGAAACAATGGCTAGGGCATGCTTGTCCCGAGCATCACTGTACATACATATTCAGAGTTTAAAGGTTGAATGTTAAGACTGGAAGAATTGCATCAGAGTTAGGGGTTATTTGAGCCGATGCGCACTTCAGCATCACTGCCCTCTGTTGCCATCTGAAGGTACTATCCAGTGACCACAGAGGCCATGTTGAAATGTCTTGGACTAGTTAATATCTGAACTGCCAATTTCATGTTCACTGGACCCAACGTTTCCTGTTTTTGGCTAATATGAATGCAGTATTGCCAATTTCCTCTTGCCTAATTGTGCACTCTACATAAAGGCACATGTCGTTTTGAAACCCTATGTCCAAGCATACACAGCTTTGCACGAATAAGAGGTTACCAAATGACGGGATTCCTTAACCGTGGAAGAAAGAGGGAAAGGGTGCCTAGCTCAGTGGCTGCCACTTCAGCATGCCACCTTTCATTAGCTCTCTAAAAACATCATACACATGGACAGAGTCTGATCGGGTGTTCGCAATTTGGGTGCTTTCAAGATGACCCTTCATTCCAGTGATGTCTTTGGAGAGTGAAGTCCCTGCGCTGCCAACTCGTGTGCGTGCTTATAAAAGTCACATAATACAGATATTTGGGAGATCTTTTGTTGGCTATAACCACCTAGTGAGCACTGGTGAGTTAAGGACTTAAGGGAAATAACAAGAACGTGAATCAGTTATAGAGCACGAGCATGTACATGTGCATAGATGTTGGGACAATAAAGAGAGAACGCGTTGGGTTCGTCATGCTCGCTGTGTGTCTCCTTCATGCACCCTACCAGTATAAACGCTTTCAGAAGGCTAAGAATGCATGAGTGAGCATACCAAGACTCCTATGATTGAATCAATCGCCAACACATCTTTCCATGAAGCCAGAACAAGAGAGGCTCCGTTAGTTCAATCTGTCTTTTGATCTAGGTCTGCTCTACAACAGTGACACGGGCTCAATTTCGTTGCAGCTAGCAATCAACTATGGCACTACATACTCTAGGGCATATAACTGAGGTTTAACACTGAACTGAGGGTCGAGTCTCGACCCTCAAGCCTGGTATCCATGTGCCCATTGCAAGAGCCAGGTGCTTTTCCGATGCCTTCGTTCGTGTTGTCAATCCAATTGAGCATTGGTTACACGTTGCTGTTGCTTTCTGCCATCTCATGTTCCTTGAAAGACATACATGGTGGGCTCCTCGGGGTTCAGCATATAATCCTCGAATGGCATAGACGTCACCACATACTACACAGCCAACTGATGTATGGCACATTTCTTTACACATGGTGTGC